AAATTTTGGGCTCAATTTACTACCTAAAGGTTGTAGACTCCATGTGGAATTTAGAGTGTATTTGGTTGAGATTTTTGGGGGAAGAATTGATTTTTGAATAGTGATATGATGGGAAATGTGTGGTTGAAAAAGAAGAAAAAAATATTGATGTGATGGAAAATATTATTTTATTGAAGAATGTGTGGTTGAAAATGAGAATTGATTTACTGTAGAAAATGAAAATTTGTACCAAACAAGCCCTTACCTTGATTTTAATTTTGAGTTTATATTTAATTAAAATACTTATTTTAACCGGGTGTCTCCAACTTTTCATAACCACGTTCCAATTCTACTATTCGTTGCTCTCACGTCCCGACCTTTTAACATGGTATACTGAAGTCAATAGCTAACAAAACTTCTCTGTAAATATTAAATGATCATTCGATACATGTGACGTCCTGAATGAATTAAAAAGGGAAATACGCTTCGTGAACAATGTAGAATTATACCTCGTTCAATTTTCAATTAAAGTTAGTCACTTTCTGAATTATTTCGAAATAAAGAAGTTTTTTTTTTTTGAACAATTTCGACCTTTCGAGTTTCGATTGGACACCAGAGTAAGTGTCACGTGACAATTTAACATACCAAGTAACCTTAGTTGAGAAAATAGGCGTTTGATCCATGAAATTACAATAATAGCAAGCCTTTTCAATTGAATCGATCCTGTGAAGAAAGAATATGGGAAGACACAAGAAATGATGGAGTAGCTATCTACAAAATGGCGAAAATCTCGTCGATCATCTCAGTTCGACGATGATGACAATTTTTCTCTCCCCACTCGCGATGATTCCCGTCCCATTGAAACCCAAGGTACCCAATTTCTTAATGCACACAACACAAGCACCTGTATTGTAATTTTGTGTATATATCAATAATTGATTTTTTAATGAATTTCTATAGTTTTGAATTACTTATGTATGAATATATGTGAATATTTGTAGAGCAAGAGCAGCTGATTCGATCCTTCGAGAAGAATCTCGCTCAGCAGTCTCTTCTTTGGAAGGTATGAATATAATTGATTATTCTAATATTTTATTTAATCTGTTTTTGGTTTACTGAGTTGCTACTTGTTTAATTCTTGTAGACCGTCTTTGCTGGACTGCTGTTGTGTTATGTGGCTTTCCTCATTTTCTCAATTTTTCAACAGGCTTATTATCCCTGGGAATTGGTATATTCTTTAATTTTTCATTGTTATACAACTCTATGCAATGGACTCTTAATTGTTTTATATTTATATTATATGCGTACAGATAAATTGAGATTAATTAGGGTTTAGGAAAACTTGCCTATTTTGAAGTGTATATTGATGGATTAATTAAGGTTAATGGATATTAGGGGTGCCAATCAAGACAAATGGGTCAGCTTTTCTTAATTCACCCTCATCTTGAAGTACTGTGAGCTTTTAAATAATGCTATAGACTCAATGAACTTGGTCTAATTCGAAATACGCATATGAATTTTGAATACGTGAAAACTTACCAGCACAACCAAGTCTTGTTTGCAACATGAAATACAATAAAAAAACTTAATATTCACAAAGTCGAAAAGGGATTTCTGTGTTCTCAGAACATGAAAATAAATGAAATGCCAGTTTACTTTTATGTCGTTTTATGCTTGGGATTACTTCGGATCCTGTTTCCCAACAAAATGAAATCAAAACCTAAGTGGCAAGTGTAAATTAACTTTTATGTCGTTTTAGGATTGGGATTACTTTGGATATGTTAAAAAATTTATTTGTAAAGCTATGCATAGAACTATCAAGTAGAACTTATCAAATATGAGCCCTGACCTTATTTAAGCCAACCCAGTATGGCTCATTTTTGGCTTTAATTTCAATTTGTGTTTGTACCTTGGTTGAACACTTGGTTTGCCTGAGCTTGTATTGAGTTCAGTTTTAAAATTACCAAACCGAGTTCGCGAGCTTCTGGTGGTCTTGGGTTCATTCACAGTCATAATGAACGGTGAAGGGTTTGCTGCATCTTAGTCTTATTCTCTGCGTTCATGTTTCTTGTTCTATCTGATGGACAGCGTTATCATGCATACTTCATGTACGAGGTTGATTCGTGGAGCATCATCTCTGCAGGTTTGGGTCTTCCTCTTAGTTTCCAATCATTTGTCTTTCCATGTAATGCATAGGGGGAATGATGTTATTGGTTCACCATTGTAATGTATTTGTTTGGTTACTATTTTCACGTGGTAGTCTTGCACTAAGAACCTTTTCTTTCTTTTGATATATATTGGCTGCCGTGCTGATGTTTGATCGCTATACATTTGATCACCAAAGTTTAACTAAATTCTCCTATAATTTTCTGTTGGATAAATCTTTTGTTGTTCTCATATTATACATGCCTATTCAACTATCCCCTCTGTGGGTACAAATTCTTGTCATGAAAAGGTTAAAGCTTCTTTGCGTTGTATGATTGCCTATATTACCTTCAGAATTGAAACAAAGCAATGTCAAAGATGAAGTCCTTGCGCATTTAGCCAAATTTTTTTCTTGGTGGTTTAGGAGGAGGAGGAGGGAGGGGAATTCGTCTGAACTATTTTCAGGTGTTCGTCTGCCTACAAGTTGTCATCGTATTATATTCCCTTTTAAGGAGTACGGATTTGGTGTACATTGAGAACATCTGGCTTGATGAACATATAAATTAACGTGGTTCTCTATATTTCCCAACAAAATTATCTAGCAGAAAATCTTTCATTCATTGACGTGTCTTGTTATTTAGTTTTAAAATTATGGCTTTTCAAGATGGTCTTTCCCATAACCAGGCTAACTCGAAGCTTGTCACAGAGTGGGCTGCTGTTTTAGTGTGCTTCATGGTCATCACTGGGTTACTACACAATTCAAAGCACCATCGTAGATGGTTTTGGTATTCATGCTTCCCTGGTATATTATCAGCAGTCTTCTGGTTACACCACATGTTGAGGTAACCCATAACCAGTTAATTCCTTATGCAAAATCCATATTCAAATTGTCATGGCTAATGCTAAGGATCAGAATGGGATTTAAGAGTTCATGGACATAAATTTACCGAGAAATTATTTCCCATATGAAGAATTAATCACATTACATCTTTAGTTGTGTTTTGCTTCCAAACAAGAATTCAAATCCTGCACGCTTCATTCTATAAGTCAAATGCTTCCATCAATTAGCAAGAACACATTCCAAAAAATACCTCATAATTAATGTCCAGTTTGATCCACTTTACATCTGTGCTGCAGATTGTCAAAGTTTAAGTGGGATATCTTGTGGCTTCCTTTCGGGCCATTGAGGTAAAACATCCTTTGAACTCCTTTTCAAATTCAACATATAGTTAATTCACTGAGTATTGAGTTAAGCATTGTTTCTAAAACTGTAGTGCATCCGGCATTTGCCTTTATGTGGACCGTGTACTCAATGAGTCGTCTGAAGAAGTAAGGAAACTTCGGGAATACATGTATGCTTACAAGGCAAGTTAACAGCCACACTCCTACTGAGTTCAGTGAGAATGGATGTCATACAGTGGTCGTTGGAGTTCTTAAGCATCCGGTGATTTGATTTAAGCTTTAAAGAACATGCACAACTGGGTTTATATGCCATCAATTTCTCTATACCAGTGCTTGTATTTCCTTTTCAAGTTTTGAACTGTGCCTGAGATGAGATTATGATTGTCATACCGATACGAATATTTATCAGAATGTGTGCTTTTTGTTTCAAATTTCTTAGATCTTGCAAAACGGTCTTTACTACTAAAAATGTTCATGCCATACCCGATCTCTCAACAAAGGGATATGGGACGTTTCGATCACCTTTCCCCTAATTCTCCTCGACTCTGGTTTGGGAAAATGTTAAACTCGAGGATTTGACTTTACTTTGAAGCAATTTCTGAAATTTTTCCTTGTCTAATCGAGTCTTACAAGAAAATAAGATTTGAGTGTATATCATTTTTTCTTTTTATGTTGGTTTAGGAAAATTAATTTGCCTAAACAAATTATATTCTTAAATTTCAAACGGAAGATCCATTTGTTTATTGTAAATTGCTGCACTTGAACATAAACCAGAAAGAAAAAAGACTCAACTTTCCATATGCCTTCTAATAAACTTTGAAAAAAGGGCAAATCTTAGCTTTCATTTAATGTATTTTCTAGTAACATTTCTTTTATTTATTAACAGTGAAAAGCATTGAGTACAATATTTCTTTGTTGAGAAACTAGGATCATCAATTGAAAAATTATTCTTCTTTAGTATGGATGCATGCTGTTTCTAAAGGCCTTCAAATATTTTTTTCTTAAGAGTATTTTCAAAAACTGATTTTTAGTTGGTTAAGATAACAAATATGTCATCAATTTTGAAATTCTCTCCTACCCTATTGTTAAAATAAGCAACTTTTTACTTATGAGTAAAAAAAATTACTTAAAAATAATCTTGTCTTACTTGCAAGCTTAGCAAAACGAGCTGTTTTAAGGAAGGTCAAAACCAGTTATATCATTGTTTCAATCAAATAAAACCAATTTGTTTAGTAAGATGAGGAACACTGGTCACTGGACAATATTAAATTGGACCAAAAAAAAAACTATTGTCCATCGGATTATTGAGTACTGCATACCAAAACTAAAGACGCCCAAGTGCCTTCCTACAACAGCAATGAACTGCCAAAGACAACACATATCGGCCCATCGACTATTGGCCTTGAGTGCCCTAACTGTTCTTTACAATCATAGGCATTCCTTAACAGTTTGTAAAGCTATCTGAAGAATAGAATAGTATGTCTGTCATTTTTAGGCTACAGGGGAGAATACCGTTACAATTTAGAGATCTCGACTCCGTGGATATTCAGAATAACAAGTACAACTTCGGTTTTAGCTATCTACAAAGGAACGTGAATCAAGTTCGTTCCTCAAGAGTCTCAATAGCAAATGCTATTCTAAATCGCGTCAAAATCTTTCCTTCTAAAATTATAATCCGTCCCTAAAAGATGGCATCACGAGGATTTCAGTGCACTTCGTGAGCGTTTCCATAAACTAAGACCTAAAATAGCAAAACCAGCAATGGCAGCAAAAATCTGCACCAAGAGAAATAATGATTTTAGAGATTGGAGAATTCGAAGAACACAGGGATTTTCGAAATGAAATTGAGAAGAGAAATAGAATCTTATAGGAGAAAACCAAAATCACTACAATAATAATTTCGTAGTAATGCAAACCATAAGACTCCATACAGTAATGCAAACTAGTCACGATCAGTTTATAACTGGCTAGTGGTGAAAAAATTGAGTTGCTTCTACTTGTCCAAGTTTCACGTCATTTTCAAGCAAGTAGAGAGAAATTCCAGGAAGATAACGAGATAAAGCCACTGACCTTTGCATCTCTAGAATATTGAACTGGCATAGAGCAGATGAAAGATTTTAGGGACTTCAAACGAGAAGCTTGAGGCATTAAAATTACTACAGTGTACTGCTCTTTGCAAGGAAAAGGTAAAATCCTTTGCAGTGCCGTCTGAGCTGCTACCGGTGTCAAAGAATTTCTTACTTTGGAACGACCCTCGTCTAGAACCTGCAAGTTAGATTTAAACAAAATTATGTTTGTCCACAGGAAAGGAAGCTTTTCAACACCTACTATTGGAACACGTGAACACTTCACATAGGAAATGGAGACTTTCGCTGACTAAAGTGGGTTAATAACCCAAATGGTCACTGAACTTTAAAAATCACTCAAATCATCACTGAACTTTACAAAAGATTTACATGGGATCACTGAACTTTGCAAAAGGTTTACACGAGGTCACTGAATTTTAAAAATCATCACATTCATCACTAAACTTTGCAAAAAAGTTTCCCAGGGGATCACCTGGGAAGCTTTTTGCAAAGTTCAATGACCCTGTGGAAATTTTTTACAAAGTTTAGTGATGAATTGAGTGATTTTTAAAATTCAATGACCCTGTGTAAACCTTTTATAAAGTTCAGTGACTATTTGGGTTATTAACCCGACTAAAGCAGACCACAATCAGAATGCTAATGACTTAGAAATGGCGCAACGAAGCAAATGGAGATAAGCCAGCGTAGAAGCTTAATTTCAACATTGATTTATCTGAATGAAAGTTATGCAAAATCACCCAAAATATAGAAGAGTGTCTTGATATATCCCTTCAAAGAAAATGAATAGAAAGCCAAAATTCCAAGTGAAAAGTAAGCTTGAAGCAGTAGTAGTTAACAGGGAGTATAAATAGAAAAAATATAATCAACCTTGAATGCAGCACCAGCATCACCAGCATAAATTCTCGACTGGTAGCTGTGCAAAACCCTCTCCAGCCAATGATAGTTCTCCTGAGAGTATGACAAGGTATCAACACCAAGAGCAATATACAGTTGATCAGCAATTTCGTAGACGTTCCACAAAAACTCTTTTGACTCAATTTCATAACTCTACAATGTAAACTAACACAACATTGAATAGCTTCTTTTGTCATTTTGCCCTAAGAAACTAGATGGAAGGAAATTATCCTGGTTTATGCCATGAAATAACCTGTAATCCATTTTCATGAGCCCTCTGCTCAATTTCAAGGATGGCTAGAACATCATCATCAGAAGGTCCCTCCTCCTGAAGACGTAGAATTTCATCCAACGCAAGATTGACCTGCGAATTTTATTGCCATGTAAGATTTACTAACTTAATTAGAAGGTATGGGTGAGAATCTGCACAAAAAGGCTCACCAACGTAGATGAGATGTCTGGATCGCATGAAAAATTAACACTTATATCACCAAGAATGTTACCCAGTCTTGAAGGTTTATTTCCACCTAGGAACACGGAAACTCCAGCAGAGTATATCTGAGACATGGTTTCCTCAAAAATTACGTCAGGTATCTTGGAAAATTTAGTAGATGCACAAAAGGACAAATGCACAGACCTGCCCATGCTTAAAACGAAGTGCTTGTAATATCTTTGTTTCGAGAAGCTTGCTCATGAATCCTACCATGTGAACGTCTTCCATCTGCAATAATCATAGAAGAAAAAACATAATTATACTTGTCCACGGACTAACAGAAATCCTACAAAAGTTGAAAAGACTTTTTTTGGAGAGATACCATATTTTCATTCTTAAGTTCGACAGGAAAGCACAGCTGGACGGAACACTGGGCTTCCACCATGGGACTGTGAACAACTTCTCTGCAAGAACGAGTTGTATTAATGGGAATTGAACTTTTACAACAGAATGTAATTTAAAAGCAAGATAGGATGCAAAGAAGAAATACAAGGCTACTACCCCCAACAGTCCCAATACACACAAGGAAAGAAAAAATTATCGTATAAATAAATTAATATTATGGTAATATTAACAGTGATATATATAATATATGCCCTCGTTGGAGCCCCATTTTTCCCATTAAAACGCAGTTTTGAACAGTGATTTAACCCCATTTTAACCACACATTCTCCATCATAACATTGTTGCAAAATGCGGGGCATATATATATATATATATATATATATATATTATTTATTTATTTTTTATTATATCAACCACACATTCTCCATCATAACATTGTTGCAAAATGCGGGGCATATATATATATATATATATATATATATAGTCAGTAATCTCAAGGGCCGTCTCTGTAATTTGCACTATTTTTTTTTTCTCGAACGGCACAAAAAAAAACATTTGCAGCCAGCAAACACCATTATCAACCACTGGATCTATCTGTTATGTAATCAAATAGAATGGGCCGACTTACCTAATTACAGCAGAAGGAAAAGTAAATGGTAAGCCTTTGAGATCATCACGTGTGAAATTCATGATTGGTTCACATGGTCTAGGGATCCCTCCCTACATGGCAAATAGAAAACTCTTAAAAACAAAACAAGCATGATATCTTGATCACCAAATATAGTATTTGATGGATGAACTTACCAAATACTGCAGTATTAGAGGGCGTGCAATAGTAGGTTCAATATTCCCGACAATGATGACAGTAAAACTTGATGGATCCTTAAAACAGTTGTTGAAGTATTCACACGCTTTGAATGGATCAACTTTCCGAAGGTCGCCAAGTTCAATTGGCTGCATCAGTTGAATTAACCATTTAGTAATTTGTATAGTATACTAAAAGAAAGACAAAATTCTATAAGGATATCAGGCTTACCCTAAAAAAATAAGAGTTTCCATAATTGAGCACCCTCACACGATTTGAGAAAGCAGTGTAAGGATCTCTATTTTGCGCACGAACAGATTCTTCAGCCATTTGCATCACTATTTTGGCGTCTTCTTCACCTGGTTCTAGGTTTGTTGTAAAAAGTTGATATACCAACTGGGAGAGGGAAAGGAGAAAATTATACAGAAAGGACAATGTTAGCTGGACATCATATGCATGCAAAATTGCTTCTCTAGACCTATGGAGAATTGCTAGAGAAGAAGAGCAGTAACAAAATGTTGAATGCCATCAGAAATGAGCATGCACACAAATCTTGAAATCATCATCAGCAACTTTTCCCATAGTTAACATTGAGTTAAAGACATTCGCTTTGAGAAGATATATATTTCTCCTTGCTATGGGAGTAAAAATCTTGAGCAAGATTTTCAGTAACAACTTTAACTTCGATAACATATAGTAATCATCCATTAGAAAAACTACAGATAAACTTCTAGAATATGACATGGTGAAACATACACGAGGGATTAATGCCATCAACAGGAACATACCTGCAATGCAGTTTCCAAGTCTGAAGGTGAGCAATCTCCGGAAAAGCTTCGCATGTAAGCTCCAAGCTTTGTGCCAACCTCAGCTCTTTTACCAGCAAGCATGTCCATGAGCATTGATGGTCTATAACCAAATACACCAATTTCTCCAGCGATAGTTGGACCCATTGAACACGAGAAATATTCGCATTCTGGGAGTTCAGATAAACCCCCATATGAAAAACCTGTGAATAAAACCTATTTAAACAAAGCGTTAATAGTAAATAATAACTTACTTCAAACAGATTACTTTTCCCTCATTAGACATCGCCTAAAAGAAATCCTATTGAAAAACAGTGGGTTATAAGTTTCTTTGGATAACAATTTTCATTGCATAGAACGCGTACAGTTCATTTAGAAAATACATGTTATGCAAATTGGTTCTAACTAAAATGCACGTGATCGAATATTTCATAGACAGACATTTCCAGAGTGTAAAATAAATACATAATCAACATTTTCTTAATGGGTTAACAAATACAATGGCCAAGATTTAATCTCTGGAATAAATCTCCGCTTTCCATATATTCTCCATTGCAGAGATGGTTCGGTCCACAAACATTACAAGTCCCAAACTTCAATCCCAGGATTTTTTGGATCAATTATTTGCCTTCTCGGATCAACTAAGTTGTTCATTTCAACATAAAAGAAAATCAAGAGGAGAAAGCATCATAACTGTAACACATTTTGTGCGATGCCCATCGAAAACACTACAAAAAGCACCTTCCACATGCCTAGAACTAGAAAGTGATTGCCCTATAATTCTCTTATATAGAGGAAATTAGAAGTATCTGGTATAAAGTCAATGCCTGGAAAGAGCAGAGTAATTTAATACCTTTTTCATCTATATTTTCATGGAAAAATGTGTAATCTCGAAAAAGACTGCCCCTTTCACTAAGGGTCGCTCCAAAACCAAGTTGGGGCGCTATTTAGGATCAGTAGTTCATAATCATAACCATGATGAAAAGAGAAATAACAGCCATAGTTTACGAACATGATGGACAAAAAGGGACTTCCTAGTTCCTAGTAATGACCTTTACAGCAAATGTCTGTTAAGTATCCTATCCCTCCCAACCCTCACCAAAGGAATGAAGAAGAAAAATTAAAAAAAAGCACTACTTGGCATCAATTTAGGACTCCATACTAGATACGAAAATTTGAATTATACAGGCACCGCTCCTATTCTGGAAAAATCTAAGCTGCATATTCAGCTCATAACAAGGCAAAATACCTGGTCATCAAGGAAGTCTGTGCATTTGTAGCAAACTCGCATTCCATTTGAAAGAATCAACTCAGTCACACCAATACTGGAATATTCAAACTGCTGCACTATGAGACTGAAACAAAATAGAATAATCTAAATTACACAGAACGATCAGAATATAATAAAACATTTGACTAACAGTTGTAGACAAAAGAAATAAACTCATGACACAAGTATTTTGTAAAATGACAACAACAGTAGATGTATCATAAAATAAGAAAGTAGCTAAAATTCTTTTCAAAATAATTATATTTCTACAGAAGCTCTCTAACTTCAGAAGACAATCTGCAAAATTTCGTAAGGCTATCATAGGAAACAGAATAAGAAAGCTAAAACTACCTGCCACAATCTGTCTTATAAATCAAAATACTAGATTTACAAAGAAAAGGAAAGGAGCAAATTAAAAATAAATAGAAATTTAGAATTGCATCAAATCCGTAAAAATCCGCTAGCACTCCCTACCACCGGGAAGCTAGAGAACGGATATTATCCATTCCTAGGTTCTAGTAACGATATGGAATAAATGGCTCCAAGCCTTTTGTCAAAACATTCGCAAGTTGCCCTTCTTTATAACATAAGGTGGGCAAATAGAACCGCTATAGAATTATTTTCTTGAAGTGTTGATCCACCTCTACATGTTTTGTCAGATCATATTGTACAAGATTATGGACACTATTGATTGCTGACTTATTAACACAGTATTGCTTCATTGTTCCTTCCTACTTATTCCAAGATCATCATCATGAACAATCATGATTCATAACAACTCACAAATTTCATGTTTCATGGGCCTCGTGGCTTTAAACTCTGTATCTGTATTTGATCTAGCAACTATTGCTTGTCAATTACTTCTCTATGTCACCAAATTAGTTTTCATTATTCCTCCACACTTGATTCCAAATAACAACTCATAAATCCCATATGTCATGGCTCTAAACTCTACCTCGTATTTCATCTAGCAACCATTGCTTGCTTTAATATCAATATACGCTTGAGGGAATGAAATGATTTTTTCTCCATACTGTACATCACACCCACCCCACCTCCCCCGACCCCCAACCAAAAAATAAAAAGAAAGAAGCAAAGAAGAAAATTTTAACAATGCAAAAGTTTTTCATAACTTCAGAAGCTGCATACAGATATTTATACGTGAAAACACTAGAAATTGCAAGAGGATGTTGGAATTTTTGGTTAGAAAAACTTCTTTTATTAATTTGCAGAATATGCATTAAAAAGGGGGTGTAAGCTTACCCTGGATTTGGCATTGTACTGACAATTTCTTCTGGAATGTGTTCATCATCCCAGGGAGAAATGCTTCTTTCTTCCTCCAAAGAATTGACCCTCAAAACTACAGCTTTCAAATCATCCACTGTCACAGTTGCTTGTGGCTCTATTGTTTTTATGACACAGCTACATGATGTCCGAAAATTCTCTGAATATTTGGATACCTCAGATGCTGATATATCTGACCATTGGAAAAAGTAGAATAATTAAACATGAACTTCTAAACGTAAAGGAACTGAAATGGTGCGAGTCACAAAGTACTCACTAGGAAGAAGAGTTTTGTGAAGCTGTGCCTCATGTTCAATCCCAATAACAGGTTCATTTCGAAGAAAATGCTGCATAATGAAAAGAAAGGCATGAGATGAAGCTTGATTTTGTATAACTAAAATTTAAAAAGTTACAATAACTAAAGCATGAAGGGGGAAGAGTGAGAGAAACTGTTACCTGCATATATTCATCTCGTAAGCTCGTGGATTGAATTTGATCTCGCTCCAGATAGGCAGATTCAATCTCTGACATCAGCAGCGCACGGGCAATCAATATTTCACGTTCAGAAAATCCATGTATACGGACCCTCGCAACCTGAAAAGATGACGCATAAGGGAAAGGAACAAATATAAAGGTTCATCAGGATAAAAGACACACCTCAGTCAGCATTGATTCCAGTGCCTCGGCAGTCCCGTTCTGTTTACAGGATGAAGTCATTATATAGGCCTTCACTGGATGAACAATGACATCTGCAGCAGCTGAGCAAGAAAAATAGGGAAGATCCTTCTTATGGGATATTTTAAAGAACCTTTGGTTCATAGCATGAAAAAACATGGATTCTGCTAGTAAATTCCTGTAATCCTTCACAGTTTTCAGCTCATTTGCGAGAATCTTGCAACTGATCATCACTGCCGACTGTTTTAAGTCAATGTGAAAGCAAAATTAGCGTAAAAATATCTACGTTGCCTGTTGAAAAGAAATCACAATGGAAAGTGCAAATATAGATTCATGATCCATATACTTACCCCAGCTGCTTCAGATTCCACAAAGCTTGAAAACCGTGGCTCCTCATGTGCTGGAACTGAGAAGTGTGGTATAAGTAGGGGATCAACAGGTGGGACTTTCTCTCCAAAATGAGTCTTTATCAACTCAATAACACTCTACCATGAAGGGAAAATGGACAATAGAGGGATTAATTAATCCAGAGTATACTATTCTAACTAAACAAAGAAAGTACTTAAACCAATTAACCTGTGTGTCAGGAAAATCTCCAACAGCAATCACAGCCATATTCTGCAAATGGTACCATTTCTTGTAGAACTTTTTCACGATCTCTGGGGAAACAGTACGGATTACCTTTTCTAGTCCAATGGGTAAACGCTCTGCATACTGCAATCCGAGAATGATAATAGATCAGCCATAAAAATCAGGATACTTATTCAGATATTACCGGACTTAACTCTGAGTTGGGTTCCTTCAAGAATTGATGTTCTATAAAGCGTAAAGCGTGGTTAGGCGTGGAGGCCAAGCTTTAAGCTTACGAGCCCAAGCGTAAAAAAAAGTGTTATTTGTTTTTATTATTATTTTAAATACTTAATCATTCTTAAAATTATTTAATAATTAAAATAATACATACTAAACATCTAAAATTATTAAATACTATTAATAATTCCTACAATTAGTCAATTATACAATTTTCAAGTTTTCGAAATACAAAACCTAGACTATTTTTCATAATTTCAACTAGACAAATCATACTTAACAGATTTATAGGAACTTCATACATACTTTCAAAATTTCCAACGTAACAATAAGTCTCAAAATCATAATTAAATAATATAGATAACATCATAGCTTAATTCTTATCTAAATCTTTATAGAATAAAGTCATTTTTTTATTTTTGTACAGATAAAGTTGGTTAAAAATTTGAACCTAAAGTCAAATAAAAGTCTTTTAAAAAAAGGAAAAAATAAAAAGTTCAAAATTAAATAGAAATAAAAGGTTTTTAAAAAAGGGAAAAATAATATATATATAAATAAAGCTGTCAACTACTAAGTTGACCACTTAATTTGCGCTTACTGCCAAGGCAAAGCGCTTTACTAGGTCTAGGCGCGCTTTTTAGAACACTACAAGAATAAAAGCAAGGCCAAAGGAATTATACAAAAGTTGTCAAATACACCAAAAAAGGGAAAAAGAGTGCAGCGAGAAGAAGAATATGGATATTAACTAATTCATTAGTATTATTGTGCTTGGGAAGGAGAGGGAAAGGTGGTTACTCGACAAATATAATAATTGTAAGTTAAACTAAAAACTAAATGCTTAGGGCAATTTGCGCTTACTGCCAAGGCAAAGCGCTTTACTAGGCCTAGATGCGCTTTTTAGAACACTACAAGAATAAAGGCAAGGCCAAATGAATTATAAAAAAGTTGTCAAATACACCAAGAAAGGGAAAAAGAGTCCAGCGAGAAGAAGAATATGGATATTAACTAATTCATTAGTTAATAGTTTATTGTGCTTGGGAAGGAGAGGGACAGGTGGTTACTCGACAAATATAATAATTGTAAGTTAAACTAAAAACTAAATGCTTAACCATGGATATTGTGAAGAAGACAAAAAGGGAAACAAAAGACATTACTTTTGAACCTTCCATCATGAGAACCCAATAAGCGTCCTGCATCCTTCCATTAGCATTCCTGCTTCCTCTATACTCTTCCATTACAGCTCCCCTTTCTTTTTCCAAGTCATTTTCTGAGACACGAACCTAATCATGTGAAAGACTAGAGTAGTTAAAATTTAGGCCCCCTGCATACTTTAATATTATCAAATTTAAGAACCTGTACCTCTGAACTGAACTCTGCCAAGACTGAAATGGCCTGAGATAATAGTTCAGGTTTGTCAACTGGAACAAATAACTCATAAACAGTTTCATCAGCAGATGTTATGGCATTTTGACAGGCACCAAATTCGGCCCCTATGCTTTCAAGAAACTTAACAATATCGTGATTTGTGTATTTTGTAGTGGCACTGAAAGCTAGATGCTCAACTATATGAGCCACTCCTCGCTCTTCCTCCTCTTCTAAAACTGAGCTGCCACGAATCAAAGGCTGAGCTCAGCAAACAGATTGAGTATTTAAGAGAATCAGCTGTCCATAAATTCAAATTCATTGATTATAAAAGACTCTTACACAAAGTCAAACATGCATAAATAAAGAAAGTGGATAGAATAATATTTCAGCATGGACCTCGAGGAGACAAGTATTGAACGAAATAAACAAAGAGCACACAAAAAAATAAGTCAAGTATTTTACAAAACAATTTAGGGTCAGCTACATAAATTTACTCCCATTCCAGTCCGATCATTGCTAGATCTAAAGCAGCTACTACACTCGTGATGTTATTTTTGGTTTATTCCTAATTTTGACATTTATATCGAGATCACGTCACTCAAAATGCAACATATAAAAGACAAACTTCCTTAGGACATTTTGCATGTTACATATCAAGAGTCTTATTTTTAATGTTCAAATCATTCAATACCTATGTTGATTCTGCTCATACAAATATGTCGTAGTAACCATGCCCACACCAGGGCACTAGGACAAGTGTTATGAAGTGTGTCAACCATACAGTGTTGATCATAAACAAAAGAAGCAAATCAAAGATGCTTGGTCTTTTATATTCACAGTGACTTTCTATCCTAAAGTAGATAGAATGATATTTCAGCATAAATTAATAGAAATCAACATTAAATTTATTTCCTGATAAAAATCAAATATCAGGTAAACAGAACTTTCTGCAAGGTCCTAAAACCAGAAAAAAGGGGAATTATTGTAAAAGACTCACATATATACATAGAACAAGCTTCCTCAATGTATCCTACACCTTCCATGTCAAGAGTTTATCTGTTCACATCATTCGATACCTATGTTACTTCTACTCGTGCAACATGTCAAACTAACGAGTTTTAAATGTGTGAGCTATTTTGCGTCTTATCATGAACAGAGAAGCAAAACACCCTTTACCAAAAAAGCAAATTGCAACTAAAAGCTGAAAATAATATAATAGATATTGCCAAGACATGATGCACTAAAATTCATGATTTCTTCAACCTAAGTTTTATTAACTAACACTACATGTACAATTCGTTTTAGGCTTCCGACATGGTTACACCGTTGCTAACCATGTAATTGCTACTGCATTGCATAGTACTTCTTTCACTGCCAAACCCTTCTCAGGTGTAACGTTGCTTGAGATACTGCTACATTACCTAAATTGTTTGCTTAATGTAAGTGCTCATCTTTTTATGAGAATTCATATGCTTAGTTAGAAGCCAACGGATTTCTTCACGAAAAGCTCAACACAGAGGCCGTTCAATCTCAACTTGAGATCATCTATTTAACATATATACAAACCAAGACCGAATTAAGACTTAGCACATTTGCAAAAATTAATTAATCAGTCCACACATTAATTGAACACTTTCTTCAGAATAAATTATTGTACAGATGAATGAAAAAAATGCTTATTAAAGGTATTAATATAAAGCTTCCGCATACGACCATTGACTGAGATACTTTTATCAATTTAAAGATAAGAGAGGACTATTTTGTTTACTTTTTTGCTTGCTAGAAAATTGTTCCTAAGAAGAAAATTAAGAACCATAAGTTCCCCATCTAACCTCTATTTTGTTTCTTAAATTTAATTAATTGAGTAAACTGTATGGAACAAACTTCAAATTAACTGAAAACTCTCAATATCTCTTAAGTAAACTGTAAACCCACATGAGTTGGATCAGAAGAGATCCATTATCTGAAAATAACTTCCACAAGATTTGCACAACATGAACAAACTCTGCTTCAATTGCTATTAGACTTGAGTAAATCTAATCGGTAGCATTTTTTACAATAAACAAATGCACAATATAACATTATGAGAAACACACATCTGGATTTAAAGGAAATGTTAACCTTGCACCCAAAAAAAAAAGAGAGAGAGAAAAAAAAAAAACTCATAGTAAATATAACATTAGCAAATTTGTAGAACTTTTGCACCATGAAATTCTAATTTGTCCTATAATTCCCGAGATTTAAAAGATGTATCACATTGCACCTCCAGTGAGAAAAAGAAACCATATGCAGGGAAACATTTCCATTGATACAACAGAGCTTGATGAAAAATGCATTGAAATGGAAACTGAAATACTACATTCATAAAAGAACACTAGTGTAATGGTCTGTGATTATTTTGTAAAACTAGAGGTTCAATGAATTAAAATTCAGCTTCCTTGAAACCCAACTAAATCGTAGTACCGGAGTTCATGACTTCCAGTCAATAACAGTCAACATTTAGCAGAAATGTGAATTCTCTCAACAACAATTCCCAGAAACGCCACGGTAAATGTTCATGCTCAATCACGTCGTGCTAAAATTAACACCCGCAAAGATTACGCTACCGCCCAAACCCAAAATTCCCATATAATCTAAATCGACATTCAATTATCTAAACCCCATTTGAACAAAACCATTATAAAACCCCAAACAATAAAATGCACATACGTACCCAACCTTAACAGCGAGGGCAAGAGCGGCTCGCATTTTGGGTTTGGAATTACAGCGCACATAATAAGCCAGTCCATTATCAAGCCGGCCGTAGTCGACGCCGTACGGCGGCTCCGGCAACACATCGTCTAGGTTAACGTTGACCAATTTCAATGAACGGAACCCGTGTTTCTTCTTACTCAAGATCTGCGGCGATTCTACGGGCAACAAGTCCATGATTTTTTGAATATTCTCACACTATCAGCGAGATTTTTTTGCAAATTATTTACAGTTTTCGTATATGTATTTATATATAGACACACACACTGCTGGGCCTTTTGGGGTAAATTCAAGGTTGGATTGGGTCTTACCGTGATATGCAATTATTGAAATGTCCAACTATTGAAAAATAAATTAAAAGTAATGGGTATTTTGGGCATTTCAAGAGCGCGTCCCATGGCATTGGACATGCGTAAGGAAAACGCTCAAACCATACGCAAATGGTCCCTAATGTATGGCCCTTTTGTGCATATGGTCCCTATTGTATGATTTTTGGCGTTGTCCCCCCTCGACCTATTGATTTTGTGTTCAAATAATCATTTTGGATGAATTCCATCCAATCTTACTTTTAAATAATGGGTTAATTTCACAAATGGTCACTAAAGTTACGTCAAAATCACAAAACGGTCATTGAAGTTTAAAACTTACACTAATGGTCACTGAAGTTACGTTTGGTTTCACTAATGGTCACTGAAGGACCTTTTCATTTTAATTGAAACTTAATGGACCAAAATAGTTGAACCTTGAATCTTCAGGATCAATCTGTGAAATTACACCTTGAGGAATTATAGGACAATCATTAAAATGAAATTAATACTCCTAGTCATTGACATAAGATAATCAGGATTTTAGATCCATGAACAACAGACTCATATTTTTGTCGCCAAGTTGTTAGAATGTCAAACTTCAGATTCAACAAGTTTGAATCCACCCAAGTCCTAAACTAGAAGGTTAATGCAAAACTTTAATTC